CGCCGCCGCATCTGCTGCCGCTTGCTCACCCGCCCACAGCTTTTTGCCCGCTATTCCCAGCCGGAAGTCGGAGACATCCCGTAGGGGATGAATCCAGAGCAAGACGACCCGCTGCCCCAGCTTTTCCGTTGATGCAACCGTCGACACAGATGTCAGAGTGAAGGCATGAGCCATCTCAAACTGTGTCGCATCGCAACAGGAAAGGGCTGGGTGAGTGACATTTTCCGGCGGAATAGCGGGCTAGAGCGTCTGGAGCACCACGAAGGGCCCGGGGGAAATATGAAAAAGCCAAAGGAGGGAATAAGAAAGACAAGGTGGTTGTTGTGTGAACGTACCCTCGACTTGGAACGGGTCTCGCCATCAGCGTCGATCCAGATGTACTCGGCCATAATTGAGCCCTTCTGGTCAAGCTTGAGGTACTTGGCCAACTATTCGATGGGTCAGCATGATTGCTTATTCGATTTGCGCAAAGCTGACGGCTGGAAGTGAACTCCAGCTACACCAAGCTCAGCACCGGGTATGTTGGTGTAATCTCACGGTCTCGGGCCTGGAAGTGAAGGCAGCTTCTGTCGCCTGGAGAGAAAAGACGTGTTAGTAACTGTGATCCTCTTCTTCTTCTTCCTTCGATTTTGGGTATCCAGCATCGTGACTCGAGAGAACAGCATAACGCCAGCACTCAGGTCGCGATAGGAGTAGTATGACGTGGTGGGGCAGAGTTTGGGACTTACCATTTTTGCGGTTGTGTGTGTAATGTGATAAAAACGGGAAAAAGAACAAGGTCCAATTTGGAGATCAGGAAAAGGTTCGAGCAGTAGAGATCAAATGATCTATATGACTGTAACGGGAGGAATAGAGGGATAGGATGTGGAAAAGTAAAGAGCAGGTACGATAAGAGCAGTCGAAGCGGGCGGTTGAGGGTTTTATGTTTTCCTCTGTCTGTCGTCCGGCAAGGAAGGCAGGCGCGGGCGCTGGTGGGAGAGACAGATTTGAGTGAGAAAGAGGCAGTCCAGTTCGCTCGATGCTCTATTTTTTGCTGGTGCTGCCAGCAATCTGCAAGGTACCGTCGAGATACCTCAGATGTTTCGCAGACGACCGGCCCTGTTGGCGAGGAAAGCTCATGTACAACCGGTACAGAACCGTAACTTTTGGCTCTTGTCTAGGTCTCTCGAGGTCTCTCGAGGGTCCCTCTTTGGTCCTTCAGCCCAAGATAAGGCCTGCCAGTGCCTGCCCATGACGGCGGCAGGGGTATGGCTGGTTCTGGCTTCTGGTATCGATTGCGGTGGGGTGAGAGGGGTGGGCTGGTGGGGTGTGGCCCCGGAAACATGTGCCCTCCCATTCGTCCGCCAGCCCAGAGTTTGGGGGACCACAGATACATGCCAATTCTGATTCGGTTCCCAGCGTCCCACGACGACAATGTCCAGGTACTTTGCCCGAACCCAGGACACCCTCTTCACCCACACATTTCCCGCCCTTTAACCTGCCTTTCTGTGCTGCACCACCACTCCCGTCTGCCACTATCAGACGTCTCTCAAGTATCCCTACTGCCTGGCTACGGCCCCGCGGTCCTCTACCACCGGCATCAAGTCTCCGTGGGAAACGGAAATGCGACGGGCGGACCTTTCACCTCTAGAGGTATCGTCAACTTCCTCTTCTCCGTAAATGGCCCCTGGGAAACTCCTCTTCCGCTTCCACTTGGGTGGTTTTGTTCTGTCAACCCTAGTCTCCAAGACTGATAAGTATGAAAATCACTGATCAAAATGTGTGACGATGACTTCGACGTGCGCCCAGTAGCCCGTTGACGAGCCACTCAGAGGCCGCCCGGCACCGCCCTTGCGGCAGTATCTGCGACTAGCTGCTGCAGCTGCTACCACCGACCCAACAATGACCACCTCGAGAAATCGCTACTTTGTATCCAGGTTTCGTACAGGCTACAGACAACAAGAAAAATTGCAGGTATACCGAGTAATAAACGGGTGCGGCAAACCGGACTGTAAAGACCCAGCCAGAGATAGAACAAGGTATCGTCACTGGCGATTCAAGGACCAAGCAGGTACCTCTCACCCACAGGAGCCACCGTGCCACAACGCGGGGCACGTACCGATACATGTCATTTACGAGGCCCACGTCCTTCGGTCCGCTGTCCACTGTTTCTATCCTTGGATCTTTGGAGTGCTCGTGTGCACTGTCGCCCGCCGCCGTGCCCATCGCCTTCGCCCTCGCCGCCGCTGTCGGGTCGCTGGCGCCGCTCCTCTTATCCTTGAGGCACTGTCTTACAGAGTACCTACACTATTGTCGCCGTCAGTGTCTGTAGCGCTGCTCACGGTGGCTGTGGCTGTGGCATCCGCCTTTCGGAGACAGGCCGGAAGCCCAAGGAGAGATATTCCAGGTCTTAGAGTAGGTCCCGTTCCAGACCGCTTTCGATAAAAGGGTCCTGGAACTCTGATGCCCAAAAACAGCCGCTGTTGAGTAGGCGGCCAGTGAATTTTTCGTAAGGCCGCGTTTCGTCTGAATCTCGCTTCCAGAACAGAAAGGAGACTGCGTTGAATTTCAATAAACTCTCGTCGTCGTAAATCCCGCGGGCCTACCTAACTAGAGCGCCTCCTAGAACCGGTGCGGGCTCCGCGAATGGCTTGCTGGGCGGTTCTGAATGCCCCGAGGTAAAGTAGCGTCGCTTGCAACTTGGTTGCTCGGGTTCCACGCCGACGATCGCATGGCCATATTGCGACAGCGTGCATATTCCTGGCGCGGAATTTCCTAGGGATGGCACTGAACTCTTCCGGTCAGCTTTGGGGGGTGTCGTCAGGTACCTCAACTTTCCAAAATCTCGTCAGCTTGACGACCTTTCCCTCGAGTCGACTTTCCCAGTTTCCCCGCCAAAGGACCCTAGGTCCCAGGATGACGATACACCGCGCACCAGCCACTCAGAGTCTTACACCCTCACCGGCCCCAGGATCGTAACGTCCTTTCCATCGCACAAATCTCTTCAGGTTCCGCCGGCGCAACTTGTCGCGGCACGGCGACGCGCGCACTTGCGCTAATTCCCCTATCATCATCAATCTCCAACCCTTGCCATGGCTATGCTTGCCCGCGGCGCAGGAAAGACACCCATCCTCGAGGAGTTGCTTCCTTCGTCCTGTCGTTGGCATAGCTTCCGCCTACGTCGTGCAGATGGTTGTCTCATGAAAATTTTGCCCGCCTCCCGGTAGCAATATCTTGACGGCCCTCAACGTTGATTGTCTTGGTCTTTGTGCGTCTCCTTGTACGAGTCTGTAACCCCTTGGTGGGGGTATATCCCGGCGACCCTTATTCATTCTCCAAGGTATCTGTACCTCTGTGTCATCGTGACTCCCAAGTTGGACTGGTCCCAGATAAAGCCATCACATATCCCACCACAAGGCTATCGAGCCTGTCGACCCATAATGCGGCGGCGAGGGGCAAAAGGTGGGGTGTGTTGTTGCTCTGGACCAGATGCGCTCCAAAGGTCAGATCTGTGGTCAGTGCGATGGCTTCTTGTCGGTATCCTGTGAGCGACGGTGTGTTTACAACCAGGCCCGAGTCATTTGGGGGGAGTTCGGGGGAAACCCCATATCGCAACTTCTCTCCGACAGCGGGATGGTCATCTTGCTGAGCCCAAACCTTCGGAATCACTAGTCGACTTGTCCTTCCGGCCAATATTCGATGGTGTTTTCGTCAGCGAACCCCCAAGGAACCCCCAAGCTTTTGCTCCACGAATCGACCATGTCGAAGCTATCTTCGGAGGGATACCCAATCCACATGGCCTGCCGTGACCCGTCCCTGCAAGACCTGAGTGAATATCTGGCTGATATGCAGCCCAAACGTCTTGGACACTGCAGGATGCACAAAGCTGGAGTGGACCGCGAGAAGAAGGCTGGATTCTCTGCTTCTTCCTTGTCCATGGCCCCTCCCGTAAGACGTAGCTGGAGGAACGGCATGCTGTCCATTCGTCGCATGTTCAGTCGGTCTCCAGTCGGCCATATCACACACATTCTTCTTCTGAATATGATACGGCGTATCAAAGTCGGGCTCCCCCGCAATTTTTGCTCTCGGCAGGGTATTCGTAGGACTGCGGTACCTCCGTCCCATCGCCGGATACACGATTACCCCTCAACATAGGTATCCATATGGATAGTCCGTCCCAACATCTCACTCGTCCACCACGGTTGATTCAGGCTGTATGCTGAACGTATTCTGGGAAACCATTGCCGCTCCTAGACAAACTTCAGGTAAAACTTTGATGATTCCATTATGGAACTTGATCTCCAGATGTGACCTGCAGGAGACCTCCATCTCGGGTGTCTCCAAAGCATCAAGTGTGGGACGCTAGTGGGGGATGGTGCATTTTGCATTGAGGGCTTATCGTTGGGCGCTGATTGGTCGAAGCGCAAGTGCAGAATAATTGAATTCTCTCAGGAGCTGTGTCGGTTCCAAGGTCTCCTTAAAGACTGGCATTAATCTCTCGAGAAGCTCCTCAGCTATCGTAGTGCCCTAGGCTGCTAAGCACCTTTCCCTCTCTTGCCATTCGCGACTCCAGTTGACGGGCAACGATGTGTAACTTCACGGGGTGTCGTTGACCTCGGTGAAGTGTGTGGCAGCTGACAAGCTTACTCGGTGGAGAGCCGCGGCGGTGACATGGGGACGCTGCGAACATGAGGTGCAGTCAGAGGTACCCCGTCCACGGCGGACAATTGCTGTTTGGGTCCCAACCCAAGGGCTAGTGCCGCAATGTTGGATTCTGGAAAATGTGGATGGAGCAGCCATGTTGGGTTTGGGCGCCGGCCCGGCGGGGATGGGGGAGGAGTGTGGATGAATCGGTTGTGTGGTGTTCCTCTCGTTAATTGACCAGGACTCTGCAGAATCGGCTCGTCTACCAGGTCGCCGAGACCGGGCAAGGAGGAGCAGCGGCAACGGCCGGCAAAGGAGGCACGGCAGCACCACCACGGCCCAAGACTTTTGCGGTCGGCTGCTCCGACGACATTCGATGTCCGCATCCCACACCGGCAGTCCATGGACCAGACCCATCTCGACCGACCGCCTGCGAAGTCCAACCCTCTCTCGTTTTCAACCACGATCTCGCTGGTTTTCGTCGTCGACTTTTTTCCCTTCAATCGCATGCGAAAAGCCGTCATTTCCCATCGTCCGAACTCTACGAACAACGAGAATTCGCCGGTCTCGTCGCTGAGTGGTCGGCGTTGACACACAGTAATTCTCTCATTGGTCGGCTGCCACCCGCCACGATCGGGACTTGGCTGAACACTGCCGGGGCACCTGGGCGAGGCATGTCAGGGCCCCCGATCGAGAGTCTCACGAGGTCAAAAATGACGTCTTTGGCATGGTCGATTAGGGGAAGCCGACCCAGAATGGCGGCGATACCATCATGGGTTCCGGTGCGATGTCTTTCAGGAGATCTTGGAGACTGCAAGAGGCAGCCAGGAAAGCAGGGCCGGGAGACAAAGACCGCTTCCGTGACGTCGGCCACGACAAGTGTCGGGCTGGGCCTGAACCTCAATTTCGACTACGACGTGGGGAACCGGAATCGGGAACCGGGAGTGTCTTTCTCACAAGCCAGTCGGTTCTTCTGGGACCAGTTGCGTATTCCTTAGGGGGGGTACGGAGTGCGTCTCGGTACTGGCAAGCGCCACATGGAGAGGCCGAGGACGTGTGTGCATGGCGACGCGACACGAGCCCACAGCAGGGCGCAGTCGACACTGTTGCCAGAGCCGGGTTGAGTCAGACTCGTGTTCGGCCGACGGCGGTCAGTGGTTATTTTCGGAGTATCGTTCCGGGCCAAGCGGTGGGAGATAAGACGGGAGGGCGTTCTGGAACTTGCATGGAGGATATCCACGATCCAAGGGACCAAGTGGAGGGTGGAAGATGACTTTGATGTGTCACAGCGCGCCCGCAATGTGCGGCGTGCCTGAAAGCGCAGGGCAAGGCGAGGCGCCGCATCCAACGAGACTGCTTGAGCCTTGGCTGCCCAGACCCAACAATGGAAAGCACCGAGTGGGTGTGCCCTTCCTTCCCGTCTGCTTTCTTAAATTCTTCCGCCTGCAGGATGGGGTGGGAAAGAGTGGATTTGCGCCAGTGCACAGATGGTGAGAATCACTACATTCGTACTGTACCAGAAAATAGGGGTCGTTTTGCATTCGTTGAGGCGGCAACTGCAACAGCAATCGCGACTTCCTGTCTTGCTTTGCTCGCTGTTGCCCTTTCTGCTTCTTTGCAAGCAGGAGCAATTTCTGCCTTTTTCTACGCAGGAGCAACAAACGAAAATGACATGATATGGGTATACCTAGGTACAATCGGCTTAGGAAAGAGCAATACAGAATATTTCAATTTAGGAAATCGCGCTTGTCTGCTAGAGCTACCTTAGGTTTGTCCAAGGATGATTTTGAACAACCTAAGATATCTCGATTGGAAGAACGGAGGGCTGCACCAAACATCTTTGCTTCATGCTGTGATTTCTGGATTCATTTGCCTGCTATACGAATCAACTCTTCATCCCTCACTGACGCTAGCAACCCATCTTCTCCCGCCGTGCTCATACCATGAACTGGACCGAGGGAGCTTTGGCTCGACATTCTCGAGGCAAGGGCTGGAAACCGGAGATCGCTAAACAAAAACAGTACTTCGCAAAAGCTCGCTCGGGGCTTCACGGTCCTCCCAAGCCCGGCTTCGACTCTATTTCCTTTTTCTCTCAGCAGGCCAATTCTTCGACATATCCTACGAAGCGCCTCTCTACAGTTCCATCACAAAATTCGCCGCACGTCCAACAGCACCAGCAACACCAGCAGCATCAGCAACACCGGCACAGCCAGCACCGCCAATACGACCAGAAGAACCAGCATAATGTTCCTCAGGATCACCGTCTGTGGGTGTCGCCACGGCAGCATGTGCGGAAGGAACCTCTAGTCGCAGGAGGCCACGGCATTCTACAAGAGCCTCGCTCACAGCATGCTACCAAGAAACGAAAGCTTCCTGAGTATGACCCTGAGCTCTTGGATGCGAAGAGACACCGTTTGCTACAAAAAGGCGACTGGGCTGGGATCAATGTCCAAAAGTCGCTACCTCTGCATTTCTCGGGAGCTAGCAGCTCAAAAGGACGCCAGATCTGGGGCTTTCGCAACAAGCATCCTGAGGGCCAATCTGGCTTCTTCTGGGAGCAGAACAGAAATGGAAGGAGACCACTACAAGGCAAAGCTACAAGCTACATTAGCACGCAAGGCGGAGACAAAGACGTCCGGATCAGAATCGGCAGTGAGGATATTCGATACGGCGGAGGAAGTCAGATCACGGCAAAAAGCTCTCAGAATCGTCTTCCCAGAACTGCGACCCAGTCGAAAAGCTTACGACAGTCGGAATACTTTGTCCAAACCTCGTCTCAAACCTCTGCGCAGGATTATGGTCCTTCAGGATTGCGAGGCCATAGAGCTTTGCCAGTGTCCGAAACAATATCTTCGACACAGCGAAAGCATGGACAGAGTGCTGCGTGCCGCGAAAATCCTCCGCGCGCCTCGATGTCGCTCAAAGCATATAGGTACCCAACCCGACTTGGGCGTTTGCCAAAGGAACCGAGCCGACTTGAGCGTTTACAAAAGGAAGGTCGGTCATTACTTGTTGAATCGTCTCCATCCAGGGTACATCATCCTGTGCCTCGACGACTGAGCCAGCTTGTAATGCTTGAGAGATCAGGGAAACCAGCGTCCGAAATGTTTGGGAGCACCATTGGTCAGGTCGGTCGCAACCCAGTGCAAGAAGTTGCGCCATCGGAATGCAGTGAGAACCAGCGATGGCAAAAGATGATCGAGTCTCATGAAGATCAAACAAAAAGCCCATTCGAGAAAGATTCTAGTGCAAGTCGCAAGATCGTCAAGATCAGTCCCGGAGTCAGCAACATCCTCATTTCAAGCAGCTCGGTAGTCCATGGTTCGAGATTCGACCACCCCCCGATGAGCACATTTACGGACTTTTCTTTGGATGACAGGGCGCAGGACAGTATGGAAACTGGCCAGTACAAGCGCTTTGGCACCTCTATCAAGAATGATGGCCAACCAAGAGCCACTGCAGAGAAGATGCGATCCTCATCACCTCCGCTGCCGATCATATCATCCACTCTATCAGCTGGTCGACCGAGAGGTGACCTTTACAACGATAAAGAGGGACTTTCCGAGGACACATCCCTCGCGCATGCAGAATCCTGCTCAGACGATGGCCACTATGCGCAGCCTCGACAGCTACCGCCGATGTTTGAGTCGGATAGTGAGGATAAACCAACTCTGAACAAGCGAGAACCAAGTGAGCAAAACTTGAGGCCTACCGATGAAGAAAATGAGGAAGTCGAAACCTCAATTTTCCTTCCTCGGACACTGGATACAGATGCCGGAAATGCTATATCGGTGCCAGGCTCAGATAAAGTAGACATGGATACAGAGTGGATGAGCTTCATATTCGGCGAAGACGTCGAAAAAGATGAAGACATTGCTTTCAAAGAGTCGCTCAAGGAAGCTGCACGAGACTTACGGCCATCGAGCAGCTCCGCTGGCGACTACTACCAACCTTCTGTGGTTCCCGTCTCGGCCTTTGCCTCCAAAGAATTTGCACCACACAAGATGCTTCAACACCAAGATAAGGGCGCTCTGAATCCGGTATCGCTGGGATCTTCTCTAAAGGCTGGCCAGACAGACATGGCTATCCGTGAAGATCTCGTAGACTGTGATTTAGAGCATAGCCAATATCAAACCACTGACACAAACATCGCAGGCTCCTTTATAGCAGAAGATTCGGACTCAATCATACCCCAATCCGGAACAGAGTCTCTGACATCTGAAGTTGCTCTCACGCAGATAACGGACTCTATGTCAATGATTGCACAACCATCCAACTCTGACTTAAGCGAAAACGTGGGGCAAAGGTTTGCCAAGCCAAAAACCTTTGTCGGGAGACTAGCCTGCTCATCAAGCCGAGACCCTAGACCAGTTTTGCCCCTGAGCGTGAATGAAGTTTCCAAGAAAAGGGGTAGGCCCAAGGGCAGATCGAGAAAGAAGAAGGCCGAGGATGGACGTGCCAACATCCGAGGGCTACCTGATTATGACGGGGATCCAATTGAAGGCGGATCAGACGAGTAGTGCAGCACGATTACTCGCATTTCGGGGGAAATATGGCCATCTGCATTCACATCACACCGCATGGCAAAATTTTGGAACGGGAGTGTTGTGGCATCCTTTTGACATTCGTGGGATATCGACCGTTATTGGGACCTGGCCCCTATCTACTCTAGAAACGGACAGAAACAATGTACAGTGCAAGAAGAAGAAGAAAAGACACAAAAACCCAAAGAAGAATGATGCTCCAATCCATGAACCCTTTTCACCCAAAATCGTCCAAACAATCTTTGCGTTTCCGTTTGCTCCGGCCAGAACCCAGCACAGCTGTCTGCCAAGAGGCAATCGATCTCATCTGTATCATGTGCAGAACGAACCCTTTTTTGCCATTCCCATTTTTTTTTGTTGATCTTTTTCTCAGTGTCATCTTTTTTTGTTGGTTTGACTTGATATCCCATGATGTCGTTTTGAGAGTGAAAGGAAATCAGAGAAGAGGAAGGAATGTGTGCCAGGGTTAATCATACTCGACAAGCGGCTAGCGTTCCTGCCAGGCTTCATCTTTCTGTTCAACCGCCACAGCTATTCTCTTCCTCGTCTTCTTCTTCTCACTCAAACTTACCACCACCCGCGTTCTGTTTACCAGAAGCCAAAGGCGTGGCCGTGGCGGCGGGGGTGGTAGACGGCGTCGCGCTTGCCCTCCTCGGCGCGCTTGGCGGCAGCCGGGGTGGACGTGGGCACGACCGAGACGGTCTGGGTCAGGACGGAGGTGACGGGAGCGGTGGGGCACGCGCTGACGGTGACGGTGACGGGCGCGGCTGAAGGGCAGCTTCCGCCGCTCTCGCCGCCGACGCTGCCTCCGTTGCCGCCGCTTCCACCGTTACCGCTGCCGCCGTTGTTGCTTCCGCCGTTGCCGCCGCTGCCTCCGTTGCCACCGGTGTTACCGCCCGCACCGGCGCTGGGGAGAGCCGAGGCGATGGTGGTGCCGGAGGCGGAGCTCTGGGCTGCGTCGCTGATTGTGACGACGCCGGTGAGGGAGCCGACTGTGACTGTGACGACGCGGGGAGGGGCGGGGGCGGAGGTTGGGGCGGGAGGCTGGGCGGTCACGTAGACTGTTGTCACGCGGGGCGGGGTGGTGCCCTCGGCGGGGATGGTGGATGTCAGGGCGGAGGTGACGACCTCAGTCTGGGCCGGGGGTGAGCCGGAGCCCGAGGGGCCTGCGGTGGGCTGGATTGTGACTGTGACAAGGGAGATGACGGGGGAGCCGGAGGGAGGGGCGAGGGTCATTGTAATGACGGAGGTCTTGGGCTCGTTGGGGCGGGGGGGCTCAGCTGGGCGGGAGATGGATGCGGAAGCGGAGGCCGAGGCCGCGGGGACGGTGGCGGTCACGTAGACTGTGCTGATGATGGCGGAGCCGCCGGCGCTCTGGGGAGGGAGAGTGGTTTCGACGGCCGAGGTGACGACTTCGCCGCCCTGCTCTGAGGCCGCGCCGCCTTCGTTGCCGTTGCCGTTGCCGCCAGTAGGCTGAGGGGGTTGAGCGGTGACGTAGATGGTTGAGACGATGGGCTGGCCTCCCTCGGACTGGGCGGGCAGAGTGGTCACGACGGCGGAGGAGCTGGCGACTGCATCAACGGAGCTGACGGCCGTACTGGAGGCGACGGGGACACCTCCAGACACGGTGGCGGTCACGTAGACGGTGCTGACGATGGCGGAGCCGCCGGCGCTCTGGGGAGGAAGGGTGGTCTCAATGGCAGAAGTGACGACCTCGCCGCCCTGTCCGGAGGCACCGGGCTCGTTGGAGGGAGCGGGAGGCTGGGCAGTGACGTAAATCGTCGAGACGATGGGCTGACCTCCCTCGGACTGGGCGGGGAGAGTGGTGATGACAGCTGAGGAAGCAACGGCATCGACGGAGCTGACTGCGGTACCGGAAGCAGCAGGGACATCGCCACCGCCGGTTCTAGTGATGTAGATGGTCGAGACGATGGGTGCGCCGCCCTCGGACTTGGGAGGGAGGGTCGACACGACGGCAGAGGTCTGGACGGAGCCGCTGGCAATCGCGTCGACGGAGCTGACAGCCGTGCCGGAAGCAACAGGAACACCGGCAGTCTTGGTGATGTAGATGGTGGAAATGACAGGGGCGCCGCCCTCGGACTGGGGAGGAAGGGTGGAAACGACTGCGGAGGTCTCGACGGAGCCGGCTTGCTCGGAGGCACCGCCGGTGACGGAGGGCTCAGAACCGGGCTGGCGGGTGATGGTGATCACGGAGACGATGGGGGAGCCGGAGGGCGAGTCGGGGTTGGCCGGGAGAGTGGTGGTCAAGACCTGGGTCTCAGGGGCAGCGGGCGTCTGGGAAGGGGGAGCAGCAGGAGTAGCGGGGACGGTGACGAAGCTGACGCCTCCGGATCCGATGGTGGCGCCAGAGTCAGGGGGCAGAGTGGTGGTGGCAATGACGGAGCCGCCGTTCTCGAGCGTGGCAGAGGGCAGGCTGCTTCCTCCAGAGACTGGGCCGCTCGGAAGGATGACGGTCTGGGTGACAGTCACGGGCACGGAGACGGTGACGGTGGCGGTCTTTGCGGCGTTCTGGCAGTTGACAAGCTGGGTCTGGCACTGGGAGATGGCAAAGTTCTGTCCGGCGATACTCTGGCACTGGGTGAACTGCATACCACAGGCGGCGCTGCAGGCGGACTGGAACTGGCCAAACTGCTGGCCGCCGACGACGAAGCCGCCCTGCTCACCCTGCTGAACGGCGGGAGGGGCGCCACCGAGGGCGGAGATGAACTGGAAGAAGGTGACCTGGGAGATGATGATGATCTGGGGCTGCTGGATGACGGCGGGGGCGGAAGCGGTAACGGTGCGCTCGGTGGTGATGACCTCGGTGACGGTGGCATTGTTCTCGAGGGTAGAGGTGACGGTTGCTACCTCGGTGAGGGTCGTGACCTGAGGGGTGGCGACGGGGATCGAGGTGTTGAGGAAGATGCCCGTCGGACCACCCGTACCGGGGGCGGCGCCGGCAGCGCCAGTTCCCGTCGAGGGAGGGGGCGGGATGCTGATGCTCGACAAGATCGGGGAGGGTGCGACCTGGCGCTTGGGGTGCTGGTGATGGCGCGCGAGACCGAGCTCAGCCAGGAGGCAGACGAGGGCGGCTGACTTGAGCAACATGTTGTCTGCTGAAAAGATCGTGAAGCTAGCGGATTGCTAAAGTGTTTGCAAGTTGGATGGAGTTCGTGTTTGGTTTCGTTTGGATCGTTGGTGATGAAGGAATGGACTGAAGCAAGGCCCTTCAAGGGAGCTGGGCGACTAGCACCGAGAAGAGAATGACAGGATGCTGCTGGAAAAGAAGGAAGCGAAAAGAAAGAAACTGGCAAATGAATCACCAAAGAATGCAGAGCGATGAGGCTGGAGAGAAACAAGAATTCCGTTCCAGAGACGGGAAACGAGGCCTTCTTTAAACGTTCTTTCTTGCCTCTTGCCTCCCGCCTTCGACCTTCCAAAAGACCATGTTAGTCCAGATGGATGCTTGCTCCTCCTTCCCGGGGACCAGGGTTGCTCTCGAGCTGCGAAAGATCGGGTTATCCAGTCCGGATACCTCACCTCACCTACGCCTCCTGAACCAGACTGGAGCTAGCCTGGCGGTAGTACGGCTTCGCCATCGCTTTGGGTTAGACATCGTGAGACGTTCGGTCGAAGAGCGGGTTGTCTGCGGGGCTAGGGTAGGGGGATGAGCTTAACCGTCGTCTGGTGTTTACGATTCCAAGAGAGGGGCAGGCCCGCGGGGTGGAGGGGAGTGGAGGACGGCTCTTGGCCGGGGGGTGCGAATGGAGTATTTGCCCGCGGAGTATTTACCCTGTGGAGGATCACCACCATGCTTGGACAGCCTGGGAGGAGTATCTTGTAGGTGGACGGGGCTGGGCGGCGGTGGACGTTTGCTAAGAAGCGATGTGAAAGGCCGTGATGCCATACCGGGATGACGGGGGATAGCGAGTGGGATAGCCGGGGGTTAGGCGTCGACGTCTGTGGGCTCTGGACGGAGGTGATGTGCATAATAGGATGATTCGGCCGAAGGTTACAGCCTATATCACACCTTAACACTATTAAGGCGTGCGCGTCTTCTGTGCAGAAGCGTTGGTGAAAGAGCGGAGCTCAATAACTAAGTTTATGGGAACATGAGAAGATGAGGAGATGTTATTCAAGAATGCAACGGTATGTGTAGATCCAAATCTTCGTCACTTGATGATGTCGTACCGTTCTTGATGATGTGCGTAACGTCCAGGAGCAAGAACGATCTCCCGTTAGTTCTCTCGCGATCTACAAGTGCCCGTTTATGTCCTGCCGTCTCTCGTTTTTCTCCGAGCCGTGTCTGTTCGGCCCACTCAAAACGACAACATTTCGAATTTCTAAACATCCAAACAAGGAAGGAAACCCCAGCGTTGAGTGATGGAAACAGTGGGCAGAGCAAAGGAGATGGGAAGTCGGGTTCAGGGAGTGGTTCCAGAGCGCAAAAACTTCTTCTCGCTCAGGGGTGTTATCCGTAAGGGGGATGGGGAGGAGGAATAGAAGCAGGCAATATCGAATTCTGCTCGCCGTCCGATGTTCTGATCCAATAGCATCAAGCTTGAAAAGAAGAATCGCTCGCTTGATCGGTCCAGGGAACCAGCTTGGTGAAAGGAGATGTTGGATGGAGGCTCAGGGGCAAGTTGGTGGAGGAAGTTGAGGTTCACTTTGAGTGCCCAGAAGAAGGGGGACGTTGGATGGAATGGAGTTGGAAGCGGCGCTAGGAAGGGCCGGGGGTAGAATCGGGGCAATCGGGAGGAACGGGGGTCGGGGGAGGAAGGGATGGCAGCGATAGCGCATGATTTTCGCGGGGGGTCGAGGATCAATCGGACCTGGCCGCCGTGCTCATCGGAGAATTACAGCCAATCGGGAGGGGAATTGGTACAGTTCTGCTTATATAATGTTGCGGCTGCGTCCCACTTGGCCGTTTGAAGATGCCAGCGCCTTTCTCCAGTGGCACCCACGCCAACTTCATCCCAAACACAGTGAAGGCCCCTGACCTGGTTGTTCCTGTTTCAGCTGATTTTCCAAAGGGGAAAGACTCAGCCTCGTCCCAACTCCCCTTTCTCTATGTCCTAAGGTACTGCAGTACGGAGTATGTCCAACGGGTACCTGATTTTGATCCGTAGAACGTGGCTTCTCATGTTGTCCCTGACCAGATGTTCCCAGTGATTCCAATTCCAGGGCTTCTGGACTCTGCGGATTCTCCACCCTCCCAATCAACTTTCATAGTGTTTCCACCCTCCATCAACTTCACCCCTACCATACCTGCAGGCTTCACCCCTCGCACACTTAGTACCAGACGACTATTGATCCTCATTGTTTTCACGAAAAAGACCCCAGATCACGTGCAGCTGGTCCCTCCTGATTGTTTGACCGCACGCCTCTTTCCCTTCCTCTTCCCTCATGAACGACACCCACTCACACCCGATTCTTCCATCTGATGTCATGTCGTCCAACGCCCCGGACCTGGCACCCCTGCTCTGGTTTCACGAAGGCTAATTACAGGAGGCTTCTTTCGTGCAGACTTGGGACGACTGTGGATCACTCTCTTCCTCTCGACTTACAGCCTTCCATCTCCCCCTTCTCGACCCATCGCCTGTCAAACTTGGCCCGATGACATAACGACAACCACAGAACGGGGAGCGTTGGGAACTTCCCTCGCATGTGCCGACAGATGAATAGCAGAGCAGAGTCGCATCTATTATAGCTCTCAGACCCATCCTCCCCCCGGCCAGTCAACTCACGACAGCCTTCGGAGATTCTTCACTGCAACCTTTAATGCATCACCACTACCGTGGTTCGTCCGCCCGCCGGCCCTCGCTCACTCGCATATTTTGTGCTGATCACCATGGTCCGCTCGTCGATCCCGCGCACACGTCAAACCATGAATAAGGCCTGGCTTGTGCGACCCATGCGGGAGATCACTGGCTGGTCCCCCTCCTCCTCCTCCGCCGCCGCATCCTTCTCTCGGTCTCGGTGGTCTTTCCCCTCCATCTGGTCCCCTGGCTACCCTTACAACACTCTTGATTGTTTAAAATTGCAGAGGGGCCACACACGTCTTTGGATGAGACCGTTCTTGTAGCATCATCCCAGATTGAGCAACCAGTTCACTCTGCGGTATAGACTCGTCTCGGCCTCCGCGATATTTCGACTACGAATCTGACTTCTTGGCCTCTGTCTCTAGCAGTCTAGCTCGGCGGATCGATGATGAATCGCCGTGTTCGCTCTAATGCAACTCTGACGGTGAACGGCTACCCTTGGCGAGCGGGCCATTGTGGATGTTCACTCTCTTTTTCTTGGCTAGTCAAGGTCTTCGCGAACAGGGTTTTCGTCTGTCAGGCTGTCACTAGAGTCATTGAATCTACTAGATGCCCCGAGGACATCCCGCCAGACCTGATCAAAACGGATCCTGCCTCGCAGGGCGCGCAGCGGGAACGCCACTAGATCGAGCATCATCAAGGGAAGAGGCTGTCACTTGTGCTCAGGATGAACCCACGGCGAGCCCTCTGACAAGCTATGCTTCATCCAGGCCTGGTAGTCCCAGCGAGAGACAGCAAGAGATCCAGGATGCGAGAGACACTAGCTCAGCCATCATGAGGATGGAAACGCCGCCTCCAGAATGTCTTCGGTCGCCAGCTCGCTCCGGAGCGGCGGAGGCGGGTGGTAACGCCCTAACCCGATCCCCCCATCCTGCAACCGCCACCGTCAGATATAGCAACACAAGAATGCGTCTAGACCATGAAACCGACCTTCTGGTCAGGGCCATCAGCCCTGTCTACGCCACCGCACCCTGAATCAGGGATGCTGCCTCCCGTTCGCAGATCATCTGCGAGACTAAGGAGCCTGAGCCTGCCGTCAAAAGTCCGGCATGAATGTGAGAGCCGGGGTGGTGCTGCTGCGCCCTCTGATGATCGAGTCTGGAACCTCCGCACCTGTTTTCTTGGTGAGGTGTTTTTTCTTTTGGAAGAAGCACAGCCAACCGGCATTGCATCATCGATCTTGGGTTGTTAGCACACCCCCTCGAGACATTTGATGTGCCGTCTTGAGGCTTAGATCGTGGCTCTGTTAGTGTTGAGCATTTCGTCAAGATTCTGAGCAGGTTCGACTGGACTTGGCAATAGCATGTTATGGGAAATACTGAAACCTGGTGAATGCTCAAAGTACAGTAGCCGGCCGAACTAGCCGCTGACTACTACAGATAGACTCGCTGTCAACAGGTCTACTGCTGAAGCCTGCTGTCAAAGAGGACCTCTCACCAAACAGCTGTGCTCACTAACCAATGGACTGCCGGGTGTGGTGATGGATCTAACAACACATGGATCAAAGGTGAGAAGATGTTAAGTCTCGAAATGTCCCAGTTTAGAAACTTCGATGACACTTGTTAAGATGTCAACCCAAACTTGGTTACAAAGTAGGAATTGGGGTTATCAGTTGAACCAACATTTGAATCTGCCTTGTACATCTTGGAGCAATATCCATGCACTCCAAGCACTTGCAGTATCTCAAGTGACTGTACTACACACTGACCAATATAAACCCTCACGTAGTTTTCAATGAAGGTCCAAAACAAGTAAGAATGAGACAATGGGGACTTTCAAGTAGCAGCATAAGGATTGGACCACAGGGCCAAAAGTTTGAATACACCGCGAACGTATTACCAGCCAAACTCACCAAAACCCAGCACAGACGTGTTATCATCATCGACCTGATGAATGATTCCGAAAACAAGGATAAAGGCCGAGTTTGTCGTTTGATATTCAAGATGCCAACCCCCGACGTGAACATATTCTACAGCTTGAACGCTCAGTAATTGGCCGCGGTGCTTGTAGTATCTGACCTGTGAGATGGTGCAGCCAGATTATCTGCGCCATCTCTAACACTTGTAGAATACTTGGGAGGAGTGAGAAAAGCACTGCTCAGAGGATTTTCGGCGCGTGTAAAGCTGCCAGGCGGTCGCGATCGGAGTCGTCTTCCGTGTCGGTTCTCTATGAATTGCGGTCGCGAGTGGAGACATATCACCGGCCCGGTGCATGCGCTCGGGCCGGAGCTCCGCGAAAGCTCGGAGCCAGAACCGGGCCGGGTAATTGTGGTAAAAGGAGTCGAAA